TAATAATACAGGCACAATGTAATGTTTCAAATATACCATTCAAACATCCCAACTGTTTCCGCTTAAGGCATAGGAAAGTATTTTGAATAAATGCTTCCATTTTGAGACATCTACACAGTATTTATAGAAAGCTTATGAGTCAATTGAATGAGTTATGATGCCAAAATGTACAAAGGAGTGAAAACTTTAGTTGTTATTCTTGCTACCATATGTATAACAACACTTTCACAAAAGGCCTCAATGTTTGTGTTGCTAAAACATGGAAGACTGGTTTTGAACATTTTTTAAAGGAATGATTTCCAGTAGGCAAAGTGAAATATAGTATGGAATTAGCTTTATAACACCTTCTCAAAGCAATGCATTATTTGGGGGGGGGGGGAATGTTATATCAGTTATGGATGAAGTCCAAAGTGAGCAGAGGCTGGAAATGGAGACAGCCAAAGCCATCTTCATCTTTAAAGCCAAGTTTAAAGTTTAGATTATCACGTATTGGATTTCACACTTGTTAACGTGGATATAAATTTCAAATAAGAAAAATCCACTCTCCCAATCAGTCCATACTTGGAAGCCCATCTAACATGCCATACTTGAGTTCATGAAGTGACACTGCTCTGCAAAACTCATTTTGCGACTTCAGTAACTCAAGCTTCCCTGATGGAGTTCAACCCAACTCACACTACACGAGATCCCACTCTGAAGACAAGCATGTGAGAAGGAAAAGGAACCTTTCACCTGTATGGTGTTCCAGTTATGCATCTGAGTTTAATGTCTCCATCTGATATATCCTCAGTGTTTAGAAATTCAGGTTTGTGGCCCATTGTGGCTCACCCAGCTCTACAGGATGAGTCCGCAGGCTCAGAAAGAGGAGTAAAAAATGCTTACTCTTTTTTCCTCCCTCTCTCCCTGTCTTCCTATTTCTAAATGCCAGGACAGCCCTAGATGTGGAAAGGAAGTAGCTTGAAAAGAATAATATTTAAATGAGTAACAGTGACATCCTAGGTGTTTTGCCACCTAAAACAGCTTCAGGAAAGGTAAAAGTAGAGCTGAAAGACACCAAAACAAGAGAAAATAGGGAATGCCAATAAATTCTACTAAGCCCTACTTGTTTCATCTCAAAGTTACAGGGCAGAGAGGGAAACTGAGTTGAGAAAAGGACACACTCGGGGCCTCGGGTGTGTGGGATCTTCTAAATATGCTCTGCAAAAGTAGATCTAGGGCATCTGCTTCATACCCTGCTTGCACTCAATAAAAATTAACTTCAATTACCATTTATCTACAAATCTGTGCTTTCTAAGATCCTGTCATTCCCTGGGTGTTTGGGGGTCTCATGTGTATAGTTGAGTGGCTGTATGTATTCGAGGGTCTATGGCTTCCTTTGCTTGTTGTATATTATGTGTCTGAAAAGCTATTCATGATGTGACCTTAGTATTTATCTTTATTGTGGACTTTTTTTCCAACCACATTTCTTTCCTTAGCAGGGTCAAAGTTCAGTGACCTACATTATTTCTCAAACTGGTCTGTTTTGGCTAGTCTAAAGTATCATTACTGGTTTAAAGGGACATATCAAACCCTCCATGAGGCAAAACAAGTGCCTTGGACTTATCATTCCTATGTAATGCTTTGCCAACAATATAGTCATCTTGTATGACATACAGTAAAAACCGAAGCAGGTAACATTTATTCTAAATATATAACAATTGCTGTGCTAGAAAAGTAAGGGAAAGTAGGACATTTAAGTGTGTGTGTGTTCTCAGATAATAGTTGTATTGTGAGATTTTGTTTATTTTTATTAAGATAGTAAATATACTAGTATATTCAGGATTTCTATTACCATTTATTTTTAAAAGCACACATTCTTCATGTTTTATGAGAAAACAACCACAAAAAATAAACTATTTCATTAACACCGCTTATTTAAATACTAATTAATAGCTTGGGTAAATGAATACCTTTGCCCTTAAGTTCATGGCTCTATTATCTGTTTATTTTTCACACCAACCTGATTATATAGCAGAACTCTGAGATTCCTTCCAGTACCTACACTTGTTGACAATTTAAAGAATGGGGTAGGGGGGGGAGGAATTGGCAAATTATTTAATAATTTGCAAAGATTAGGGAGGAAAATTAATCTCATGAGAAGTCTTTGCACCAAATTTATGATCCTGGTACTGGTATTTTGTGGTATTCTGCCAAGCTTCTTAGTTTGAATACAGTTAATTGTCTTCATTTTAGATTTAAGATAACATAATAGGTAGTAGTCAATCTGTTCTTTTTGGTTTTAACAGTCAAGAGGATTTTAGTCTTTGCTTTATTTTAATTACCCAATTAACTTCTTAGTCGTACTGCTATCTTGGGATCAAAAACCTGCAAATGATTTTAGGCTTAATGTTAATAGCAGAAAGAGAATGGAACTCACCACCTACAATGCTGAAAGGGAATGACGAGGCATGAGTTTATTCCAGCTCAAATAACAAAAACTTTTAGAAGGTGGGATTGATAGCTTGACACATTAAAGTTCTATTATTAAAAATAATTTACAAAAGGCTCCAACTTCCAGGTCGGAAAGTTAACCCTTGTCAATCCAAGACTAAACTAGAGTAGTTGGTGATGTTGTTAGCACACTTTGAGTTAACCCATCAAGTCACACACAAGTACTTTAGCAATCATAAGGTTCAAAACAAATTGCTCTAAAAATAATTTTGTCATTTGTCATTCCAAATCACCTTGGAAGAAAAAAGGTATCTACTTTATCCCAGAGAGATAAAAAGTGGGGGGAGTAAAAGAGGAGTAATGAAAAGATCTTGCATCTTGTGTGGGGGAAAATTAGTGCTTCCGATGAAACTTTACCATATAGGTGTATAAAGGCCAGTAAGGAAACATACTATTAGGTGGTGAATTATTTTCCCCTCTCCAATACCATGGAGGGACAGAGTTCAAGGTCCCTAGACAAATGGCTGAGTCTTTTACAAATATTCCTTTCTCTAAATCTTCTCAGAGGACGCAAGAAGTCTTCAAAAACCACTGTTTTTACTGTGTGAAGGAGTAACCCCTTCTCTCCCAAGTCCCCGGCTTGTCCCACTTTGGGATATCTTGTGAAAAGGGTGTTCACATTCACTTGTGAGATAGTGTTTGGAATCTAGGAATGATGGAGGCATCAACAAGTGTTGGGCTTGGGGTACGCCTCGCAGCTGAATTGGAAATGCGGATGGTAAAGTGGCAACCCTGCCTTCTCCTGGGGCGATGCTCTGGGTGCTGGTGTCACTTCAGAGCAGCTAAAGGCTGAGTTGAAAGAGAAGGGTGGAAAAGGGGCAGAGGAGGGAGGAATAGGAGGAGGCAGGAACCTACGGCGGCACGGAGGGACACAGGATAAAGATGAAGCAGCAACGGGAAGAGGATTCAGGACAGAGGCTCAGAGCCCACTGCAGCACCGCGCCCGCGGACCAGCGGCTATTCTCAGAGCCTCAAACTTCCTAGCTGGGGACAGTGCCCAGGCGTCCTCCGCTGCACTTGGGCCGTCTAACAACTCGCAGTTTCTCATCTGCGGCAGCGGCGGGGACATCTCAGGGTGCTCAGTCTCCACACCCACAGCCTGCACCCGCCTACTCGCACACCTCCTCCTCCTCTTCCTCCTCGCACACCCCACACCCGCAGGCGCAGCTCCGAGGCTCCTGCAAGCTCCGGAGGCAGGGAGGCGGCAGCCACTTGCTGCCCAGCGGCTGGGGACCCGGGGGCCAGCGAGGTCCCCGGCGGAGCTCAGGGAGTTCAGGGCGGCGATGGGGAGTCATGATCCACTACACCGCAGTGCCGCCGGCGTCCGGAGCTTCCAGGGCCCAGGCTGCGGCTGCAGGAGGGCCCGACCCACTCCCCGGCCGCCCCTGCCTAAGCCTCCCCAGACACAAACACCGGCCCCAGATTCCTCCCCTCCCGGAACCGAGCCGGGTGACGCCGCACACCCCCTATGCCAGCAGCGCGCACCGCTCCCAGACCCGCTGCGCCCCAGCCTCTCGCCAGCGCGTCGCCGCCGCCGCCACCACCACGCAGCCCTCCGGCCTGGCCTCCGGGGCCCCTGCTGCTCTCCCGCAGCCCCGCGGCCTCCCCGAAACCCCTCAGACAGAAACACCAGAAAGTGAGCCCGGGTCCCCAACTCCTCGAACCCCCTGCATTTGCATTTCTTATGTAACGCGCTGCAAGTTTCCCAATTGGAGCCCTCTATAACGGGGGCGCACCATCACCGGGAGGCTGACCCCAACGTAGGGCTGTGATGCTGCTTTTTTTTTTTTTTTAAAGGGGGGGGGGGGATTCATTGCACCCAATAGAGGGGACCCAGCTAGTCTCCCCGGTCTGAAGTTCCCCCCCACCCAGCCCTGTAAGCCCTGCTCCAGTATCCCCAGGAGCAGGAGGCGTCGGAGGCAGCAGACCCGGGAATGAGTTAACACTCCGGGAGCGGGAGGGGGAGGAGGGAGGCGGGGGCTGGCGGAGGAGCGGGGCGCGAGGGAGGAGGGGGGCATCTTGTACTCGGGGTGGAGGTGATTTTGGGGTGGCGACTCTTGTGCTAGCTCATCAGAAAGTCCAGAGCAGGGTTCCGGGGGCACCGGGCTGCGTCCCTGAACCTGCAGCGCACAAGTCAGGAGAGCTCGCGGTCCTTTTTACGGAAGCTTCATTTGCCTCGGGCAAAACCTGGAGCCCCAACCCCTTCCATTCCGCCAAACGTAGGCAACCAAATACATTTAAGGGAAAAAAAAAAAAAAAGTTTCCTCCTCCCTCCTCCTGATGGATGGTGTCACAGCCCCGGAGTCATGGTTTTCTGGCTCAGCGACCGACCGATCCAGCTGTTACTTGTTTATCCATGCAACACCTCTACATGCAACACTGTCCTGGTTCCCTCTCTCTCTCTGCCTCGTTCGCCTCCCTGCATAGCAGAACTGCAGATCTAGCTCAGTGAGCAACAGACAGGTTATGATGAGGGGAAAGACATGACACGATTGCATGTTTTTGCTTACCAGTTGGGTTCTTGTTTTTCTTAAGACTCTTGCCACAAAGACACTGCAGCATATGCGTTCCTTTGCTGAAAATGTTCCAAAGAAACCACATTGATTTGGGCGAAAAGCAATCCAGCAGCTTAGACACCCTGAGAAAGGAGAGATCCTTGTGGTTGCATAATAATAATTTGAGATCAGTTCTCCTGAAGAGGGGCACCGGCTTTACCATAGGAAAAGCGATAATATTCCGAATCTTCTCCCAGTTTCTTCCCCTCACGTGGTATGTTTCTTTGAGACTTCTCAGGGATTGTTTTTTCTCGGCCAGGATGAAGGATTCCTCTCTCTCTCTCCTGATCACCACCGGGTTATGACCAAAGGGCTGGGGGGAAAGTCCTTTTTCAGCACGAAGCCAAACAGAAAAGCGAAGAAATCCCACCTGAGCTCAGAACTGATCGGGGAGAACAGGAATGCACAAAAGATCCCCAAAGAGAAAACCATAGCCTTTACTTGATCGCTATGAGGATGGGTGGGTCTGCAGAAGGCGAAGCAGGATTCATCTCAGTGAGAGAAGACTGCCATTGTGTAGTCCCTAGGAGAGAAGCGGGGGGAGGAAAAAAAAAAGAGAGAGAGAGAGAAAAAAAAAAAGAAAGAAAGGAAAAAGAAAGGAAAAAAGAAAAAAAATCCACCGGTACACACACTCACAAGCCAATACCACCTCCGGGATGGAGTCTGACAGCCGAAGACACAGCCTTCCAGGGTCGATTTTTTTTGGGGGGGGGGTTTGGTTTTATAAATCAATCGCCAGTGCCCAGTGGGATCAGATGGACCCTGCAGTTCTCAAATCAGCGCGAAGAAAAGATGCAGAATCGAGGCGCCCCCTCCCCTGGTCAGGCCGGTAGCAGGTAGAGAGCGCCCCGGAGCCCCCTCCTCCCGCTGCTCACTCTCCCAGTTCCCGGCCGCGGTGAGCATGAGGAAAGCCTCCCCTCCGGATTCCTCGCCCAGTCTCGGCTGTGAGTTACTGGCATGAGAGGGAGGAGGAGGAGGAGTTGAAGTTTGCATTGAAAAGACTGGCTTTCCATGACGTAGCCACGTGCTTTCAGACCCGTCACCAGTGAGATGCTTCCACCCGCCCAGGGAGGGCAGTGTCACTGCAGTCTCTCCGCTGGTTCCCTCCTGAAGTCCCCCCGCCGTCCGCCCGCACCGGCCCCAGCCTGGGCCCTCTGGCTCCTCTGCCCGGCAGGAGTAGGCTTGCTGGTTGCTCTAGGAGCCATCTAACAGACCTTTCTACTAAAAGTGAATGTGGAAAAGAAAAAATGAACAATTATCATCAGTAAACCTTTAAAAAAAAAAAATCCGGGGGGGGGGGGCGGAGTTAAAGAGAAACAGTAGTTTAATACCACTCTTCACAGCCTACATTAGTTCCACCTTATCTTTTTCAAAAGCAGCATCTAAACCAGTAAGGGAAACTCAGGTTCCTTTCGTTCTTTTTATTGGAACCCTACTGAACGTGCTGTTTGGAAAATATAAAGTAGGCATATGACAAATATGTACTTGCAGAAGCAGCCTGACTTGCAAAGGGCAACCACTAAAATCCAGGTGGTAGGATATGTGTTGGTAGGGAGGGCCATTTAGATGTACACGGGAAAGAGTATGCCTTTTCTAGACAGTTAATTCATTACCATCAAATAATTTTTGAACAAAAAGCACTTTGCTTAAATCACACCCTACTTCATTACTTGTTTCTTATAACCATTAACTGAACGTTAAATTCACCCTTATTCGCTTTTCATCTATGCTACTATAAATCCTTGTTATCAGCCACCACAATCTAACCTAACAAAGTGAGCAAATATAAACCAGCTCCCTACGTTCCCAGAAAAATAAAAAGAGTTAGAGCTGTTGTTTTATTTTATCTTCTTTGGAGGGACAATGCTATGTACAAACATAGCACAAACTGTTACAAAGAATAAATAACAAACTCCATGTACTCACCAGTCACCATTAGTACATGTTAACATTTCATCATACCTATGAACTGAGGTGTTTGGGAAAGTAAAATTACCCACTCTCACTCTTGTTTGGTAAATAAATTAGTTATTTCAGCTTATTTCCATTTCTATAGGAAAATTGACATAAAATTTTAAAATATACATGTAGAAGCTCCATTTTACTATCAAAAGAATAAAAATGCTTCTACTCCATAGGATTTCAAATTCTTATAAACAAATAGAGGAAGACTTATGTTGTTGAGAATAAATTGAAGAAACTGATTTTGAAGAAAATTAATGCCTGTTATCAAAAAAAGAAAGAAAATGTAGTCGATAACTTCCTCATTGCTATAGTTTTCTAATATAAATAAGGCATTTTGAGATGCCAAAATGTGCACCCAATATCTGGAACTCTTTTGGGAAACATCAGTCAATTTTAGATAAGGTAGAAAGAAAATTTAAAACAAGTAAATTCTATTAAAGTAAAGGAACCAGAGAGTTAAATAGTAATGGCCTCAATGTGCCAAAAGAATCATGTCATAGCTTAAAAGAATTACTGTGATTAACTGGAGTCTAAATAAAATTAGGGAAGGAAAGAAAGAGGAAATACTAAGAGTTTATGAATTTAATGATAAATGACTTGGAAGCAGGATGGAAAAAAAATTTGAAGAGTAGAATTCTTTTTTTTTCTACAGAGTAAAACTGGTATAGCATTGCCAAATAATTAGGATTATTTTTATATCAGTCAATCAGGGATAGATCTCATATGCTGCTTCTATCACATTTTGGTGTCCAGTTGGGGAATTAAAGGTTCTGGAATATCCCAATCTATTACCACTAGATATACTCCAGAGAAACAATTGGATAAAAAATATATTTTCCATTTAGGTCTTTTGAACTCTCACATCTCTAAAGTTTCTCTAAAAACTTGCTGAGTCCCCTGGGGATATTTCACAAGTAAAATAAAATCCGGGGAGGTGTCCTGTAACTATTGGATCTTTTTGTATGCTAAGTTTATGTAAAGAGAGTATTTCTCAAACCAGCTTTTCTTGCATTTTTCAAATTGAACTCTCTTTTGTACATTGTAACAGTGAATTTGATTCCTATTACAATAAAGAATGACTGCAGAAAGCTATGGGATGTTTTACTATAAGTTGGTGGAAAGCTGATTACTTCTTTGTCCTAGTGGCCAACATAAAAGGTAATTGACTGTGGCTACTACTTATAGAGATTCTGTTATTCCAGGCTGTGCTGGTTGCTTCTTATCTTTTATGCTCTTTAAAGGAAGGAGAAATCTTTTATAATAATGTATGAAATTTCTATAATTCTTTTCTATACTTAGTTTGCATAGTCTATTATTCACATCATTATTCAACAAACAAACAAATAACAAATATTTTTTGTCTAGAAAAGATGACTTAATACTGGTTCAGGTTACCGTTGGTCCAAAGGATGAAGGGTGATCCAAGAGTCACCCAGGTTTCTGGGGGCCTCTGGTTTAAAGATGACCCTAAGATATTTATACTGACCTGAGTTCAGACAATTATTTAAGTTGTGTAGGGTTTGTTTGGTTTGGTTTTTTTGTGTGTGTGTGTTTTTTAAGATATCAAAATATTTACTTACCCTTTGCCACACTACATTCAAATCAATATTAGATGTCAAAAAAATGAAAACTATCAGAAAGGAAATGTAAACATTAGAATGCATATAAGTAAAGATAGAATAAGGAAAGCCTCGTGATAACTGTAAGTGAACAGTAAAATCTATAATATATATAGGTAGAAAAATCTTAAAACTATTTTCATAAGGTTGAAACAAGATAAGCCCAGTACTCATAATGGAGTTCATTAAAATTGAAACTTACCTTCAGCTATATCATAGTAAAGAGACTTAAAAATAAATGTAGTGACCAGAATTTCAGGTCACACTAAAATATACATTTTAATTTAGGACATGTAAACTTCCATGAGATTATCAAAATCTTTGTGACTGTCTTAGCATGCTTTTTCTAATTGTCCCCAATATTACTCTTCTATTTTATTCTTCCTTTTAATAAGAAAATCCCCACCCCACAACAGTTTTAAAAGGGCACATGGGTACCCCAGATAGAAAATATAATTCCCAGCCTTCATTGCAATTAAGTATGGTCATGTGACTATATTCTAACCAAACAGATGAGAGCAAAAGTGACACATTGAACTGCCTGGTCACATTCTTCATAGGAAGTCTCTCTCTCTCTGTCTCTCTCTCTCTCTCTCTAAATAAAAGCAATTAACTTAAAAAAATAATAAAAATTTTTTTAAAGTATCATCACTTTAGTACCATTTGCTTCCTCTACCCTTGTTCCTACATTGACTCATGGCATAGAAAACCTCTGCTCCTTTTTCTTAGAGGCAACAGTCTGGAAAGGTAACTCCAGTTCTCTCTGCCCCCTCTCCCCCCTACTCCTGCCCGCCCCCCAGGTTCTCAATGAAGAAGGAATGACTTAAGTGGCCTAGCCCCTTCTTTTCTCTCTCTTTGGATCTACCTACATGCAAAATAAAATAAAATAAAATAAAAAAATCCATAATTCTTTGCTTCAGTTCCCCTCTACAAAAAGCATCGTGTCAGCCTTGAACTTAGAGTCTACCTTCTAGAAACAGGTTTGGAGACCAATCTCTCTGAACTCATTATGGGGTTTGTAACAGACATCATCATCAGTACCTCACATATATCCTTTGCATCCTGCCTTAGCAGTGTGCTCTGGTTGGCTTCCAGCTTCCAGTATCTCCATCTCTGAACCTGAGGGATCTTTGTCCAAACCACAAAAGGCGCCTCTCTGTGCCCAGGCACTCACAGAGAAGCCTGGGAATGAACACGCCTTCAGAGAATGTCCCCATGACTAAACATCACAGCTCCCTTACCTTGTAGGAGGGATAATGATGAGGCAAGTGTTTTTACTAGTATATCCTTCCCCAGGTTTTCCTTGTGAAATAAGATAGTCTCCCACCAGGATAGCTGTTTTATCAACACACCCTTGGCCCCTCCCCTTTTCTATATCCATTCCCCACTCATCTACTATATTCTCTCCCAGATAAACTACTTGTATTAGAACCTTTATCCTCCATGGAAACTCAATCCAACACAGGGTTGAAGAGGGAGGACAGGAGCACTGGGTAAATGTGGGTACTCTCCAGATTCAAACTCTTCCATCAGTGATTTTTGCAAATTCCAGATGTGGGAGAAATATTTTGGTAGACCAATTCTTTCTTTTTTTTGAAATCTTTTTTCTTCACTGATTAAGGTATTGCATATGTGTCCTTAATTCCAATATTGCCTCCTACCCTGCCCCATACACACACTCAGGCCCTCATCCCCTGGGTGTCTGTATCCATTGGTTAGGCTTATTTGCATGCATACAAGTACTTCGGTTGATCTCTCCCCCTTACCCCCACCTATCCCTACCTTCCCTCTAGGTTTGATGATCTGATCAATGTTTCTCTGTCTCTTGGTCAGTTTTTGTTCATCAGTTTATGTTGTTCAATATATTCCTCAAATGAGTGAGATCATATGATATTCATCTTTCTTAGACTGGCTTATTTTGCTTAGCATAATGCTCTCCAGTTCTATCCATGCTGTTGAAAATGGTAGGAATTCCTTCTTTTTTACAGCAGCATAGTATTCCATTGTGTAAATGTATCAGTTTTTTAATCCACTCATCTGCTGATGGGCACTTAGGCTGTTCCCAAATCTTAGCTATTGTAAATTGTGCTGCTATGAATATAGGGGTGCATATATTCTTTCTGATTGGTGTTTCTAGTCTTTGGGATATATTCCTAGAAGTGGGATTACTGGGTCAAATGGGAGTTCCATTTTTAGTTTTTTGCGGAAACGCAATACTGTTTTCCACAATGGCTGCACCAGTCTGCATTCCCACCAGCAGTGCACAAGGGTTCCTTTTTCTACACATCCTCGCCAGTGCTTGTCGTTCATTGATTTGTTGGTGATTGCCATTCTGATAGGTGTTAGATGGTACCACATTGTCGTTTTGATTTGCATCTCTCAGATAATTAGTGACTTTGAGCAGGTTTCATATGTCTCTTGGCCTTCCTTATAACCTCTTTTGAAAAGTACCTATTTAGGTTCATTGCCTGT